CTCAGTATTTATGACTTCTGGAGCCTGACAGACACAAGTTGCGATGACGCACCTGATGACTATTGAACTCACGACGTGAATATTTGAGATTCACGACGTGAATCCAGAAAAATGGCCCTATAAATAGAATTCAAGGGGCAACCGAGTTTGGTTGCTCAATCTCTTCTCTCCCACTCCTAATACACTCTCCAAGCCCTATTTTAAACCCCCCCCCCCCCCCGAAGCCCTGGTATCACACTCAGACACGAAGTAACTCCCGATGTCCCGAAGATCCCGAGATGAAAAGAGTTTTCGAGTAGAAGCTCTGCCCACGAGAAGCCTGGTGTGCAAAGTGATCCCGTTTTCACCGAAGAAGTACTACTTCTACAAGTCGTAGTGTTGTCCGACCATCTTCTGATCAATTGAGTGTATAGTCCCTTTCATAAACACGATTTTAATACAAGTATTGTTTGAATATATTAAGTATATTTTTGGTGTGAGTATGTAGTTACTTTCTTCTACCACATAGATATGAAGTATTTGCTATGAAATACGTGTTATGTATTTATACGTTGTTTTTTTACTTGAGATGGTTGTTGAATGAATGTTTTATACAGATTTTTAATTGATTTAAACTATATATGTAATTTATATCTACAAATATGTTGGGTAGAACATGGGTAGATGAAATAGTTGGTGTGTGAGGAAAGACTAGTTTGAGGATGAGACGAAATATGATATAGATCATGAGATGAGGGTGACAAGTGAAAAATGAGTGAAACCTTTACCCAAACGATGGCCCCCGGCACTTAGCAGAGTAGGGATGACAACCACAGACTATTCTAGACAGTCATGTGGAACACTAGCAAGCTCACAACTTATAGGTGTTGTGCACTTGATGTTCACTGGTGTACTCTAAAAACCGATTGATATGTATTGCTAGAGGATGTCTCGGAACCAATACGGTCAATAAACGAGATAAACCCCAACGACTATGGGGTTAGCGCCAGTTAAGTGAACCTTGGTGACTATGGAGTTAGTCCCTGTTACATAAACCTTGGTGACTATGGAGCTAGCGCCTGTTACATAAACCTTGGTGACTATGAAGTTAGCGCCCATTATATAAACCTTGGTGACTATGGAGTTAGCGCCTGATAGCTATAGATTTAGTACCTGATAGATAAACTTTGGCAGCAATGGACTCATGCCAATTCCTTAGGTAAATCCTTAAGAATGAATGAAGGAATGATAGTCGATTCTTAGGGTAAAACCTTAAGAAATAAAGAAGATAATTGGGACGGGTAATTGGGTTGATTGTTTGATGATTGAATATAATAAATATATTATTGTGGGTTGAAAACCCTATATGGTCACCAGGCTCCCAAGCTTGACCCACTCTGTTTTCTTTGCATTACAGGTAATGACACAAGAGTATAAGTTTGTGGAGTTGACGAGAGATTTTGGATTATAAATCAGTAGTTATAAATAACTGTTGTAAGGTCTATTTTATATTGTTTATGCTTTTGGTCTGTATCGGAACATGACATCCCGAGATTTTTTTATTTAATGAAAATACATTTCTTTATAGAAATGTTTTGATAAGTTCTTATCATATTTTGTTTTGGGAACAAATTCCACAGCTGTTTTCTTTAAAAGATTACTTTGATTTTAAAACAAAGCATAAACAAATCGGTCTTTTCTGACCGTGAAATTGGGGATGTCACAATCCATTTCTTCTTAATGAGGTGGTGGCTTGGAGCAAGTGGTCGAAAAGTCATTTGATGATTTTTAAAGTGGATTTTGAAAAGGCTTGTGACTCGGAGTCTTGGGATTATATCTTGGAAATTATGTTAATTATGTGTTTTGGGTTTATTTGGTGTTCATGGATTTTAGAACTTATATGTTCAGCTAGGGCATCTGTCTTACTGAATGGTTTGTCTACTCCAGAATTTCAGATTCAAAGAGGTTTGAGAAAAGGAGATCCACTATCTCATTTTATCTTTATCTTGTTACTGCAGGGTTTACATGTTGCTTTGCAAAAAGCTCATCTTCAAAATGTGTTTAGAGGTGTTTCTATTTTTGGTATTGATATCTCACATTTTCTTTATGCAGATGATTTCTTTTTGGTGTCTCCTTGGAATCTTAAGAATGCTAATTCAATTCTTCGTATTCAGCGATGTTATTATCTAGTTTCTAGTCTTAAAATTAGTTTGCAAAAAATCAAATTGATTGGGGTTGGTGTCTCTAAGCATCAGGTAGATTTGGTGGCGGCAAGTTAGGGTGTGCCCCGGATTACCTTCCTTTTGTTCATTTGAGTATTCTGGTTGGTCAATGTATGTCTAGGGTTTCAGCTTGGTCCCCTATTGTTGACCGTTTTCGGTCCAAGTTATTGAGGTGGAAGGTGAAAAGTCTTTCCTTTGGTGGTCGTCTAACTTTGATTCTATTCCTTTCGACCTTTTTAAAAAAATAAAACATTTATCTTAAAACAATTGTAAATTGCCCAAAACAAAAAAAATTTAGAAAAAGTAGTTATTTATGAAACTTGAGGGTTTTCTTGACAAATTGCTACAATGTTTCAGGCTACTTCACTGCAGATGTGTACTATGTGAAAAACAAAACCAAATAAACTGTTATTATTATTCGTTTTTAAAATAAACAACAATAAATTCATTATTTACTTTTTCTGTTTTCCAAATAGTGATATACATTTTTTCTACTTTATCTTCATTAAGGCAACAAATAATTTCTATGTGACATTTGTTATGACCATGTTCCTTTTTCATCTAAACAGTTTTTTTTTTCCTTTTGTTAACATAGTGTATATATATATATATATATATATATATATATATATATATATATATATATATATATATATATATATATATATATATATATAATTGTTCTCCATTTTATATGTTTGGGCTAGACACATAGGGTGTCAAAGAAGATGAAAAAGTTTGTATTTTATTGGTTTATTATAACATCATATTATTATCTATTTTTGATTAATAGTATGATTTTAAGAATTTTATATAGGACACTTAGAGACAATATCCATTCATCGGACATGCATAAACCATTTGGAGGCAAGACAATTCTATTTGGTTGTGATTTTTATAAAGTCTTTATGTAATACAAAGAGACAATCTTCCTTAAATAAAACAAAAATAAGTAGTCTACAAAAAAATCTTTCAATAATTATAGATATTCAGGTATTTCATTGTTTTTTTTAAACATATCAATATTACCAATAATGCTAATTCTGTTTCTATTACTTTATTTTTATTTATTATTTTGTGCCAACTTGTTATACACTTATATGTTCTCCCGCATTCCCTTGTGTGTTCAACGAACCGTAACTTTTTTTTTTTTGACCGTTAACAAAAATTAAAGACAGTTATTATCAAATGATGGATTGTACTTGCGTAGACCCGTCTTCAAAAGGAATGTTGTCTAACTAATATAACAAAAAATATTATCTACAAAGAGGTACATTAACGATTATATATATTCAGACATTTTATTTTATTTTTTAGAGTTTTCAGTATAACCAATAACACGAAGTTTGTTTCTGTTACTTTTATCTTTTTTTAAAAAAAAAATTGTTGTGCCGGTTTTTTTGTGATTTTTATGCATATTTATACGTTTTCTCATGTTTTACGCGAGTCATAATTTAGTTAAGAAATTAAATTTTATTTTTTGTTTGTACCAATCTTCCTGCTATCTGAAAATTTAGAACCTCTCTTACAGTGTTACACAAAATAAAAAAATAAAATGAAAGATAGAATATTTATATTTAAATTTGCAAAGGCAATGGTTAATGTATATTAAAAACCCATTTTATATGAATGATAAAGAGAAAAATATATAGGTGTTTGATATTATAAACAAGAATGGTGAAGGGTTATAGGAGATGTTGATAAGCAGCACAACATTTGTGAAAAAATTATTGTGGCAATTTAGCTTTTTAAAAAAAAAAAACAAGTTTTCCTTGTGCAAATTGATTATCATTTTCTCAAAAATCCGATTTTAATGGTTGAGTAGCCGGTTTTTACTACTTTTCAAGACGTTCGATCGGTCCAATTAATTTTTTTTTGAACTACACGGTTTTTACTGATTTGATCCGACTCGACGTGCCACAAGTAATGTTGGTTTTTTTTTTTATCGATTTTACTTAATTATGGAAGGACATGTTTTTTTAATTCCAGATTTGACATTGTGATAATGTGAAGGATAATAATAAATAATCTACAACAATTTAGCCAAAATCAAATTTAAGCATTGTAATTTATTTTTTTTCCAAAATCTCATGTGGGATTTTCTCTCTTCAATTAAGATTATAAAAGTGTTTGAATGCATAATTTTATGTATTAGACACATTTACAATCTCATTTAGGAGATGAAATACTAGATTAGATGTCGGTACTAAATTAGATGTCATCCACGACTTCGCATGAAAAAATGACTAAAATTAAAATAATAATAATAATAATACTAAAATACTTTTAGCAAAATACCGATGGATCCACGATTTCATAAGCTATTTTGGTCTTTTTATTTTTAATTTTCTTTTGGTTATTTCTTGACAAATGGTAATCGAAAGTTTAGGCTAAATTTGTCTTTTTATCTTATTTTTAGGTGTATGGGTATTATCATGTATCTATTTAAAAGAGTATAAGGAAGTTTCACCATATAAAACATTATTAATATTAATTTGTTACCTAGTGTTAATCTATCTATTTTTATTTGGGAAAATGACTTGTAAGGGTAATGATGTTTTACCCGTGTTCACATTATACCATTAACGTTTTTTTTTAACACAAAATACCATTAAAATGTTTTTTCTGTACATACTTTACCATTGGTAACCGGATACAATAGGTATCCCGGTAATTTATTTATTAAAAAAAAAACAAATTATGTGGAAAATACGTGGCTCACCCCTCTCCATTAAACACCCACACCCTCACCCTCAACACCCCGTTGTGTAATTTTCTCAGTCGAAGTTGAGATCGATCATGGCTGGTCCATCTAATGCAAAAGGATCAACTTACATTCAAGTAGATGTTCATTACGATGGAATGTTTTCCCCCATTCCTCATCTTATATACTACCTGAATCAAAAAACGTCAATTACAGATGTCGATTTTGGTGGATTAAATTTCAAGGAGTTCATTCATGTTCTTGAGGATGTCACAAAGGGGAAGTGTCCTGTTGTCTACTACTGTCTTGGGCATAAGTCAATGCGTGATGGGTTGACACCACTGAAAAACGATGATGACTACAGGAGGTTTCTTGATGTTGCACATGGTAACGAGGGAAAGATTAATGTATATATTGATCACTACAACGATTCGGTGCTTGACTGGATAGAGGAAGAAAAGGAAGAAAAAAATGTTGATAGTGAAAGCTCTGATGAAGATAAAGACTCGGTCATGTCTGATGCTCTATCTGTTGATCATGAACCCGATGAAGAGGTAATACCATTGACTAAATCTGATGATCCCTTTCTTAACTATATTAGTGTTGTCCCTAGAGATGAGTTTGTTGATGAGGATGATGATTCAGATAATGGAACCAAAGAAGCCCCAATTTACCCTTATCATGACTCAACTCAGAAATGGGATACAATGCAACCCATCCTTGGTATGAGGTTTTGTAACCCTCAAGAACTTAAACAGCTTGTCTCAAACTATGCAGTAGCAAACGGTTTTAACCTTTGGTATGAAAAAAATGATAAAACTAGGTTGTTAGTCAGGTGTTGTAAAACTAGTGAAGGAAAGGCAGCATGTCCTTTTAGACTATGGGCTACTTGGATGAGCAGTGAAAAGTCATTCCAAATTAAGTCCTTACGTAATGAGCATAACTGTGCTAGAACCTTCAAGTTTGGGTCAGTTGTTACTTACTCATGGATAGGGAAACATTTTGTTAATGATATTTTAGAAAATCCCAAATTGAGTTGCAGGGAAATGAGGGATAAAGTTGGGGAAATTTTCAATGTGAAGGTTAGTGTTGGACAATGCAGGAATGCAAAGAAGTTTGCACTTAATGAGATCGAAGGCAGTTTGAACACACATTATGAAAAATTATGGAGTTATGGAGCTGAGATATTAAGAGCTAATCCAGGGTCAACAGTGAAAATTGGGACGGATACAATGCCTGATTCCACAATTTATTTTTCTAGGATGTATGTTTGTATCAAAGGTGTAAAGGATGGTTGGATTGAAGGATGCAGGAGGGTTATAGGTGTAGATGGTTGCTTTTTAAAAGGTATTTGCAGAGGTGAGCTTCTTTCAGCTGTAGGTAGAGACGCTAACAACCATATTTACCCCATTGCTTGGGCAGTAGTTGCAGTTGAGAACAAAGAAACTTGGAAGTGGTTTCTAAACTTACTACTTAAGGACATTAACATGGGAAATGGGGCAGGATTAACCTTACTTTCTGACCAACACAAGGTATTTATCCTAACTGTTTTTTAATTGGTTACCGTTTTATTTATCTTAATGTTATGTTTATCTTAATGTTATGTTTATGTTGCATGTTTAGGGTCTTATTGAGGCTGTTAAAGAAAGAGTACCAGATGCTGAGCATAGGCAATGTGCTAGGCACGTCTATGCTAATTTCAAGAAAAAATTTAAGGGTGCTGCATATAGGAAGCTGTTTTGGAGGGCTGCAAAGGCCACAACTGTGCAGAGGTTTGAAGGTTTAATGAAAGAGATTAGGGCGATTGATGTACAAGCATATGATCACTTGATGGAAAGAGATCCAAAATCCTGGTCTAGGGCTTTTTTTGTATTGGACAGGTCTTGTGATGCCATTGAGAATGGTATTTGTGAATCTTTTAATGCTGCAATTGTGCATGCTAGGAAAAAGCCGATTATAACAATGTTAGAGGAAATTAGGAGGTTTGTGATGGATAGGATGTATTGTAAAAGATTGAAGGGGCAGAAATGGAATCTAGCCATATGTCCATCTATTAGAAAGAAAATAGTGGACAAGAGGAAACATCTAAGGTATATATACTTTATTTTATAGGTATTGGCATGTAATTCCCAAGTACTAATTTTATACTATATTCCTTTATTTTATAGGTATTGGTATGTAATTCCCAGTGGAGTGCAACAATTTGAGGTGAGGTCAGTACATGAGGTTTATGCTGTGTACTTGAACCAAAGAACATGTGCATGTAGAGGATGGCAACTAAGCGGTATACCATGTATACATGCCATGGCTGCTATTAGTTATCTAAATGAGAATGTGGAAGACTATGTGGCAACTTGGTTCACAACAGAAATGTTTGGAAATTGCTATAAGTATACAATTAATCCTTTAAATGGAAGTGAAATGTGGCCATCTTGGGAAGGTCAACCTATGTTGCCCCCGAAACGTAAAAGATTACCTGGCAGACCTAAAGTCAACAGGAAGAAGGCTGCTTCAGAAAAAGAAGGTCGTCATACTATTAGCAAGAAAGGGGCTATTACAAAATGCAGCATCTGTAGAGAACCAGGACACAACAAAATAACATGTCCATTGTCCAAAGAAGGTTTTTTTCATATCAAGTATCATTCATTTACCAAAAAAAATATAAGTATTATCTATTAATGCATTATAAATTTTAATGTAGGACCAAGTACTAAAGCCAAAAAGAAGAAGGGTAAACATGTTCCTGATGTTGAGGATGAGTCTGAATTTGAGATTGAAGAGATGGATGAAGTTGAAAATGAGTATGAATCTGAGTCTGAATCTGAGATTGAAGAGCTGGCTGAAGATGGTGATGAACCTGATCAGGGACAAGTTGATGAACAAGTTGAAGCTGCTGTTGAACCTGCTGTTGAAGCTGTTGTTGAACCTGATGAACAAGTTGAAGCTGTTGTTGAACCTGATCAGGAACAAGTTCATGAACCTGATCAGGACCAAGTTCATGGACCTGTTGTTGAGGAACCTGCTGCACAACCCGTTGTTGAAGTTGAACAAAGAGCACAACCATTGAAGAGGAAAAGGAAATACTCAGAGAGGATCACTAAAGTGGCATTAAGTAGGGTGGTCAACACCAAGGATGGATGTGGTTTAAGTGTGAATAAACCTGTTACACTGGAATGATTCCCTTTGATGTAAATCTGCACATTAAAAACTGTGCTTTTGTTTGTTTAAGGATGAAATTACTATGCTTGTCTTTTGCTAAAAACCATGCTTGTCTTTTGATGTAAATATGCACATTAAAAACAGTGCTTTTGTTTGTTATTACCCTTTAAATATAATCTACATCGTTCAATGTTGCTTTTACATATGATTCCTTGTTTTTGACCATTATGCCCTTCATATTATTTTTTACCATTATTCACATTAGATCATATTCAAACACAAGATTCTGCACATTATGCCCTTCATTTTGACCATTATGCCCTTCATTTTGACCATTATGCCCTTCATTTTGACCATTATGCCCTTCTGCACATTAAGAGGTAAAATTCTGCAAGATTCTGCATTTTGACCATTATTCAAACACAAGATTCTGCATAGTTGTTTGTACAAGAGTTGTTTGTACAAGGGTAACATTCTGCACATTATTTTTACCATTACTCACATTAAATCGTATTCAAACAAAAGATTCTGCAAAGTTGTTTGCAAAGTTATTTTTACCATTACTCACATTAAATCATATTTTTACCATTATGCCCTTCTGCACATTAAGAGGTAAAATTCTGCAAGATTCTGCATTTTGACCATTATTCAAACACAAGATTCTGCATAGTTGTTTGTACAAGGGTAACATTCTGCACATTATTTTTACCATTACTCACATTAAATCATATTCAAACAAAAGATTCTGCAAAGTTATTTTTACCATTACTCACATTAAATCATATTTTTACCATTATGCCCTTCATTTTGACCATTATGCCCTTCTGCACATTAAGAGGTAAAATTCTGCAAAGTTGTTTGTACAGGGGTAACATTTTGCACATTATTACCCTAATAAGACAATGCATGAATGCTCATTCAATGTTGTTTGTACTTAAGATTAAATCATATTCAAACTTAAGCTAAACATGTCCATTCAATCGTATTCAGCAAAACATGTTCATTCAATCATATTCAGCAAAACAACCATAATATCCGATTACAATTTGACATTTATGCCCTTAAAAGTGATACTACAAACAACATAAACAACACAATTACATATGTTTTGAGACTGCTAATTTTTCTAATTATCTTATCAAATTCTTCATCTGTCTTCTTTTTGTAAATATTGAAATCATGGTCCATAATTGCAATCCTCACTTCACAAGATTGTGCCCTTACTTCACAGGATTGTGCTCTCACTTCATCTCTTTTCTTCTTGTTGACTGTATCTTCTTCATTAACCCATTCCCAGAATTTGCATTTAATTTCTGGGTTATCCTAAAACAAATATACGAAAATTATTGAAAGACCTTACTACATATAGAATAAACCCGACATACCGTTGAATTAGGGCAAACCCTAAACTCTTTTCCAGGATTATCTTTGGTCGTTGAAGTCCAGATACGAGAAGGGTAGCCACAATCACAGGGATTTGCAAAATCAAGTTTCGATTTTTGACTTGATTTTCTTCGATCTGGTGTTGGAGGTGTACGTAGAGGAGGAGGAAGCATTAGATGGACCAGCCATGATCGATCTCAACTTCGACTGAGAAAATTACACAACGGGGTGTTGAGGGTGAGGGTGAGGGTGTTTAATGGAGAGGGGTGAGCCACGTATTTTCCACATAATTTGTTTTTTTTTTTTTAATAAATAAATTACCGGGATACCTATTGTATCCGGTTACCAATGGTAAAGTATGTACAGAAAAAACATTTTAATGGTATTTTGTGTTAAAAAAAAACGTTAATGGTATAATGTGAACACGGGTAAAACATCATTACCCTTACAAGTCATTTTCCCTTTTTATTTCTATCTTATAGTATAAAAGATGTCATGCGGTTAAAAATAATTTGCTATCTTAAAGCATATTATATATCTAGATTAATTTAAAAGTCCTTTAGGGAATAGTACTCTGTTTCTATTGATGGTTTTTTCTTTTTTGTTATTTATTGTTTTTATCTTCTATAGTGGGTGGGATAGTGATTACCTACTACGTGTCAATGCCTGTCTAAGTGTTCCGGAAGCCAATAGAAATAAGATTAGTGCCCACCGCCACTGCTTGATTTTGTCAGTCCTTCTTCCCTATCTTTCATCGACTACTCATCAGATTCCATTTCAACCCCTTCTCACTCTTCCCTCAATCCCTCTATTTGCAAGATACGAAGTTAAGTTTCCTCGATTGGTTTTGGTTTCACCATCAGATAACCTTCATCACCATCGAACCAGTCACCGTTCACCATCGCCTCCTTCTATTCTTTACGCTTCTATTTTCTTTCCACCTGTGACCGCCACACTTAAGAAGTCATCTTCAACCATCATCTTCTATTGTTGAGTGCGCGACTTCGAGGAAAACACAAACTGGTTACTGATTTGTAAACATAAGAAGTTGACATCCCCTCTAAAGTCATTTATGATTGCTTAAGGGTACATTATCATCGAATTTCAACCATTTATTATGTTATAGATGAAATTGATTCGACAAATTTTGGATTATGGATCTGAATGAATATTGTGTGAAACAGGAACTGTTCGGTTTCATAGAAAAACAACAACATATCGTTGTTCTGAGTTGAAGCTCACAAACCTTGGGACTGAGGTTTCTTGCATGGGCCGATACCAACATTGAGTTTTATTAAATGTTGAAGCGTTTGCGCACCACATAAAATTCTTGAGTCTTAGCCCTGAATAATCGTTGAGTCTATTCTCTCAATTTCTTACAGGGTGTTATTTGTTCAAATACATTATCAGATTTCGAAAGGCCATTTCAACAAAAAAAATCTCGATTTAATTTTTATTTTTTCATTGTTACACCAACCGTTGCTGAGGACTTCATGCGTAAGGTTGTTGTAGAAGCTAGAAATTGAAGATTATATAAATAATCTACGTTTGTTTTATATCAACAACAACTTTTTTTTAAGTAATATGACTTCTCTCTAGCCTTTTTACTTTACATGTAGGTTCTAACGATCCGTTTTATTGGACAACGGAATGATGGGGCAATGGAATGGAATGAATCATTACATTCCATGCTCACGTTTGATTAATATGTAGGAATGAAATTAGTTTGCATATAATATGTGTATATTACCTGTAGATACAATGTATAATTTAAACATTATTTTATGCATTACCTTAATAAATTAACAAACTTTTGATTATAGAAATAAAAAGGTCAATTACAAAAAAGACTATTATATTTTGATTGCTTTCCGGGTTTACCATTAACACATTTTTCTTTACGATCAAAGTAAAAAAGTTCCTATAATTTTTTTACAAATCAACTGTATCCAATGGTGGTAGATTGATTTTTATGTTTTTTTATTTGATAATTTGTCAAGATCAAGAAGAGGTAACCAAAGTGGTCAAATAGTGTCCTCCATATTGCCGATGTATCTAAATGTTATTTTCAGGCCGCATATATTGTATTTAGTGCAGAACTGTGGACACTGTCATGTACATGTTCAACTCTTTACATTAAGTAATATGTTCTTTACATTTTTTATATGAAAACCCATTTTAAGATATGTAGGTGATGCTACTCTGGATTGCTTCATTTTACCATAACATACACAGACCAACCCTTATACAATCTTTTAACAGACATAGTCAACGGTATTTACGGAATTCCAATCCTCGAACTTTTCATACCATTAATTGCAACCATAAGTGTGTGTTACATGAATAAATGACACCTTCAGTTTAATTAGATGACGTGATCATACAAAGTTGTTGGTCATGGTAGACATATGCAATAGATGTAAGACATTGTTTTATTTGAGTAATCTAGGTTTTATGTTTACTAATTTTAGTTATATTTTCATCTATAGGATCTATATTTGGTTTTTCTCATGTTTATGAAGTGGATTTGGTTGTTTAAGTTGTTATTACCAGGTATACCAATCACCTCCCCAAATCTACATATAAAAACTATTTTGGTTGTTGGTTGATACTAAATTCTAACATATATTTGATCTTAGTAGATGTTACTCATATGCTTGGAAATATTTGACCATATTATACCAGATAAGAAACACTAAATAGCAACGTATTTAGAGTTTACACGTGTTAGTTTCTCTTTTCATCAATTTATACTATAGACATATCAGATGTAATAGAAGCTTATGCATCAGCCATAAAATCTACTATAGAAGTTTTACCAGAGAAAGAAAGTAATTGATGAAAAAGTGAAATCATTTTCTGGAGATCTTCGTGTCAACCGGACACCAGCTGTGACTAAAATTCAAGATGGTAACTTCCTTCTTTTTCTTATAAAAGCATTGTACTTTCCAAGTAAAATGTTATAAGTGGGTGGTTGTTTTTAAATAATACCCGATCATAGCATTATAGTTTCAAAGTAGAATGCTTTACCCAATTACAAATGTCAAAATTGCTTTTCTATTTGCATGATAAGTGGATATATTTGAATACGTGAAAGTGTGTTGCTATAAATTATGGTACATGGCATGTTCTTATCAACTATCAACAATTATTAATAATTTAAAAAACATTTATTAATAAGTTAAATAAGTTATTAATTTATATCATATCTATATAAGTGGGACAACATAAAATTGAAAAGATATAAAATAGAGTGTTAGATTGTCACAGCAAAGCACAAAAGGAGATGTAATTGCCAAAGTAAAGTACATTTGAATGTTTTTTTTTTCATTTTCTCTTTTAGATTTGTTGATAACTAATATTTTTTCATATATTGTTTCTTTGCAATTTAGCATGTCAAAAACCTAGCCGGGGAATCAAAAATCTAAGTTTTCTACAATTTCTGCAATCAAATTAACTATAAGTTCAATGGAATGGGCAACAATAGAATCAAATTATACCAAATGCATTGATTGATTCATGAGTAATGCATGTTCCCAAGTGTCAGCCTTTTGGAACGATTTCTTAGCAAATGATACTTCACAAACAAAATGGGCCTTCAAATTGTTGCCATTATAGCAATTTTAAATGCAAAG